TAGGTATGGGCATGGCATGAGGCACTAGTGCCTGGCATAGTGCCAATTTGCCCGGCATGGGCATTTGCAGAACCCTAATACTTATGTTTTTTATATATAAAATCTCGTGTAATATTAAATATATTTCAAGATCAGGTGTAACGTAGCACGATCAGAAAAATTCAAAACAAACGTATGTTACCTATAACACAAATTGTCGCATAAGAAACCACCTCTCGAGTTCTAACAAAAAAAATTCCTTGCAACATTTTACTATAAATTTTTTTTCTTTATTCACAACCTAAACCTAACTATACGAAAAAAGCGGGTTATTTTAGGTTGGTTTGATTTACGTTACACCCGATCTTATAAGGCGCATGCGCGATGTATAAATTATCTCTAAACCTTTTTATTAGCCAGTAAATTTTTTTAATAAAATTAAAAAAAATTTTTTTGTATAATTAATAATTTAAAAAATACAGGAAAATGGTTCTAAATTACAATTAAAAGGTAAATAAATTAAAGTTTGTAAGAAATTTTATTAAGAATATCCATAAGAGGGATTATTCAAATATTGAATAACAAAAACATGGTAGTTTCGGCCACATAAATAAATTTATTATTGTATTCACATTATTAAAAGGAGCCGAAAAGTATAAAAATTCCTTGGATTTGACAGATAAGTCAGTTTGTCCCGTCAAATTACCTAATATATTTTGATGTGTTCATACAGGCTGTATGAGTTGCAACATTAACCCTTGGCAATTATATTAAATGTGAAGACATGATTACTTTGCATGATGATAATTTGTGTATCATGTATGATCCAATAAAAAAAAATTCACAAAGTTCTTGGTTTACTATCCACGTTCACCTTTAAACTAGTTCACCTTTAAACTAGTTCCTTTTAAACTAGTTCCTTTAAACGAATAATTGAACGAAGCGTGGCCAATTAATATCCCTCGTGTACATGCCGTAAAATAAGACCACGAAAAAAACAATAACAGATGTCGATCATGACTAATTTTTTAAGTAAACTAAATATAGGGTTTTTTAAATAGTTAAAAGATTGCTCTTGCATAATGTGTGATTGACAAGGAGGATCTAATTGTGATGCGTATGTAATTTTAGTACCATACTAAATCTAAATCGTATTAAGATCTAAAAAAGTGATAGGACATAAATATTACATAAAATATTACATAAATTTCAAGCGAGTATACATAATATCAGGTACTGTACGTACATTCATAGGTATATACACGGTAATTGATATTGATTTAACAATCAAATCAATACTCAAGTCAATACTCAAGTCAATATTCAATTCAATATTCAATTCAATATTCAATTCAATATTCAATTCAATATTCAAGTCAATATTCAAGTCAATATTCAAGTCAATATTCAAGTCAATATTCAAGTCAATATTCAAGTCAATATTCAAGTCAAT